TATACGACTTGTTTAAATTAGGACTGTGGAATCGTGTAAAAATCTACCAACTTGAACTCTGATCAGAGGCAGACTTGTTACCAAAAATCAGTAAATTCACGTAGAACTTTTGTTCGAATTTTTAATTTAAACGAAATAAATTTTAAAATATTCATCGATAAATATTGCAAATACATTATTGTTTGTATTCTGTTAATTACATTTAATGACGAAGATTCTTTCTTTAATGGCTTGAATGCACGCCAGTATATTATTAATCAAACCCGGAATAACATCACAATCATATTGCATCATAATTTCGTATATCATTCTCAGTGTTTAAGTCTGTTCTTTTACTATATTGGCTGTTATGTACAAATTACAAGGGAAAGTATGGGAATCGTGTCAAATTTGACTCTCCGAGTTCTTTGCAAATCTTTACGTCATGAGTTTCCGAATCCAAAATCGTCAAAATATATAAATTTGGTTGTGTGTTGGCATCTACGTCGTTAAATATCTAGGGTGGGGTAACGATTAAAAAAAGGAAATTTGGCAAGGTAAATCGTGTATAAGGGACATTAATGCTATGAAATTTTGGTAGTAATAGATGAAGAATGGTGAGTAGAAGGTCATCGTGTGTCATATTCTCGAGAAGACTAAGATTTCATTTAGATTTTACTCTCTATTAGTATTTACAATTTTTTTTTTAAATATAAAACTCAACAATAACCTCAAAATTAAGTTGTTAGCCATTTTACAATTATCAATAATATATACATTTCTGCTAACAAAATCTGATAACAGATAAAGCCACACACAATTTTTCATTTTGATTAATTTTTTGATACGATTTCATAACATATAATTCAGTTACAAAAACTCTTCTGCGACATTCACGTTTATATAAAAGTTTCTGAAATTCGAAAGTTTTTCTGTTTTCTGTGATATTTCAGTTTTATGTAAAAGTTATCTGACTTAGCCCTAAGAAAACCCATTAGCTGATCCGATGTTGTTGCACATGAAGATTGATTTTGCAGGTGTTGAGTCACAGGTGGATCGTCGATAATGTAAAACTGTCATTATATATCGCTGCTATGATTATATTTCGTCGAGACTTGTGCGATTCATTCTATTTACTTGTCCAACGGTTGACTTTCTGTTCCTTTAACAATACGTTGTTTAATTTAGCACTTGATTGTTATAATTCTCGAACATTTGTTGCTAGTAAAAGTGATATTCAATCGGTTTTCTTATCATGACAGCAAAAATAGGATTTAGAATTTCCTTAAATTAGTGCAAAATCAAGCTTACGATCCTCACAACTGTATTTGTGCGGCAAATAACTTTCTGTTCGATATTACCGACAATTTTCCATTTATCCTGCACTGTTTTAAAGTTAGAAAAATTTGAAAATAAAAATAAAAATATGTTTTATTAATTTTTGATGAAGATAGGCAGTGACGGCACGAGGCAAGTTTTATGATGGAGAGAGATCCTATTATGGCGCTCCCTTGGTTGTTTCTAATTTATACCCTTTAATTTTCTTTACCACTGAGGCGCCAATTGGGATTTAGCGCCTGAAGCTGCTGCTCCGTTCGCCCTATGGTAGGGCCGGCTCCCCCCAGGTAAGGAGCTGAGTCTGGACGTGGCGGGGAGGCCAGGCGGTGAGAGACGACGGGTAATGGGGTCCCGAAAGTATCGTCTTGTTCTCGATCGTTAGTGGAGTCTTATGACTCGAGCCAAAGGTTCCAGAGGTGTCAGAACATCATGGGCTTTGGGTCTGTATACCAAGCCTTTATATGCTTGCTGTGCGATTGTCGTCTACGGAGGGGACGACTCTGGCGGGGTTTCAAATATCTCCCAAAACTGGAACCTAACCCCGTTGGAGCGTACGGCTATAAGAGCTGCTAATTGGCATTGTGGCATGCAGACTCACACTTAAACAGAAGGGAGACTGGTGCGGTCAAGGCACGGGGCTGTTCCTAATAGTATCGGCAATAGGAGGGCCAAAATGAGCCCTCAGTAAGTCCGGAGCTGGGGAATAGTCGCTGTAGCCGTAGCTAATATAGCTCCTAAGGAGGACTTGTCTTTGGACGAGATATGCGGAGTGTAGTTGTTTGGGCTTGTCCGATGGAAGTTGGCGACTCTGCCGATGAAAGTTGGTAGCCCTGCCGACGGAAGCGTAGGCACCCGTTGGCCTGCGGTGGGATGGCATTCGATAGGGGCGCTGCTGAAACGTGGTAGGGATCCTTCGCTTCGGCGAACGGTCCCGAGTCCCCCTACTGGCGACGGTTAAATCGTCTGCTTGTAGCGAGATGCACATTGTACCCTGGGCTGATGGGTTATATCCCTGATAATACACATTGGAGCACGCAGGGAACGCCGAAATTTCTGGATTCAAATCCCGCGTCGGTACAGTGACCAGAGGCCATGGATTTGACAATCCGTACCCTCTGGAACCTGAGACACACAAAGCGAACTCCTGCATCCACCCGGTGGCACGGGGCCGATGTTTCACGATAAAGACAATTGAATGCAGTCGACTTAATCTTAGCCCGTGGTAACGCAGACCACGTAAAACTCTTTCTGTCCGGTAAAAGAAGAACCAGCATCCCAAGAGGAAGACCGGATTTTGCACACCCGGTGCTGGCTTGGGGGCCACGGCCTGCATGCCGAAGCCAGTGGGGCAAGGAGTTGTACTCCCGTAGCCGAAGCCTCGCTGGTGGCCAGGGGGTAGCGCCTACAGTGGATTGTAGGACCCTGCTAGCTGGTATTTATCCTGACGGGCAGTTGGCAGAGCCACTCCTCGGACATAGGGCCAACTTCCTTATGTCCTTGGGAGGAGTGGTGCTTAAAGGCCTGACGTTGTGTTGGATGGCCGTATATGATCTCGGAGGACTAGAAATGGGAAGAGCGTCTCCTAGTAGGGATGATGGGGCGGCCCAAGCCGAGCAACCAGCTGGGCTGGGGTAACCTAGGGTAGGATGCCATTTAAATGGGTAGCTGTCCCGGCAGCGGGCTAAGCAGTGACGACCCGGCAGTAAGAGGGCCAAAATGAGCCCTCAGTAAGCTCAAAGTCAGAGCTGGCTCTTAAACGCATACTTTGATTCTCGAACGGAGTCAGGGCACCCGTGAAACGTCGGGATCACCCTAATCCCCTCTTTATCTTTTAATTTCATGATGACAAACAAAGAAATAGAGTGCGTTTGTTCTAAGGGTGTGTCTCGTGCGAACGATATACCCAGTGGTTCTGGTAATCAAGAAGCTAAAGCTATGGAGGAAGTTAACGCAACAGGCGGTGTTACGGCAAACACCGAACCTAAGGAGAGGAGGACTTTGTGGTCACGCAAGCCCGCCAATGACCAGTTGCGAGAGCCCTGTGATGGGCAAAAAGATACGGTTCCCGTATCGATCCTCACAGGGACCAGTGACTCCGATTCATAGTCAACTGGATCCAGTTCTGGGGAAATCTTTGATTCTGCCTCCTCAGGAGGAGAGGGGAGCGAATGGAAGCCCGCACCTACGAACAGTAAGACAAGGCACCGACAAAAGCGGGCATGGGCGGCCAAAGCTAAAGCAGGAAAACCCACAGGCGATAAGCACAAGGGGGACCCTGTGAAAGCTGTGGTGGCCATAGCGGAGGAAAAACCTTCTGCTAAAAACAAGGGCGGGTCGAAGAAAAAAGGCCCTACCATAGCGGCACCCGAGAACACAAGTTCGGGAGCCAAGGCTATAACGCCGTTGTCGCTGCCTGTGGAAACACGGGATAGGCTTGGCACGGCCAAAGATAGGCGAGTTGCACTCGATGGTATCCACGAGGAGTTGAGCAAGCTCCTCGGGAAAACTGACAACTGTTGCCAGAAATCAACGTGTGCAACCATTTACAACCTTTTCAGCAAGGTTTCCGCCATCATAGGGGCTCAAGAAGCTGAGATCGCCTCGCTTCTAGCTGAAAACACAACCCTATGGGAGGTCGTGCGCGGCGGTAAAACGCCGCTCCCATCGCCTTCAGATGCAGCCAAAGACGACAAAGCAGTACTTACTGGCGGCGCGTCCTACACCGCTATTTCTGCCCGGCCGGCCCGATTAGCTAGCCAAGACGGGTCGCGGGCAACTGCTAAGCCACGTAGGGTTCAATCCACGGAGCATACGCTTCTGGTCTACCCTACAAATCCGATGTCAATCGATCAAACAAAATCGCTCCTACAAGCTAACATAAATCCGACCAAGCTTGGAGTCAGCATTAAAAACGTTTGCCGTATTCGCAATGGAGGCGTCCCGGTAGAGGTTGCAAGGCACCTGGACGTATCCACGATTGTAAAGGAATTGACGGAGGGCCCATTGGCGCTCAAGGAGGCGGTCAGTTGTAGACTGCCCCAAAAACGCCCGCCTAGGGTCATTGTCTTCAATGTCAGCCCGGACATCAAACGAGAGTCCCTCGTGGAGACCATCATTAGTCAGAATAGCATCGAGGTGGAGCCTGGGGCACTCTAACTTCGTTTTCCCCTTAAGGGAAAGGGAGGCCTTATCAATTGGGTTCTAGAGGCTTTCCCGATGGTCTACCGCAAGCTCCTGCAAAGGGGAAAATTACGCGTTGGGTGGACTCGCAACCGGGTGAAGGGATATTTGGCAATCACCCAGTGCTACAAGTGCTACGGTTTCAACCACGTAGCGAAGGGCTGCTCGGCGGGAGCCCAAGCTTGTAGCAAGTGTGCCGAGGGCCACTCCTACAAGGAGTGTAAGGCCACTATGCTGAAGTGCATCAACTGCACCAAGGCAAACGGAAAGTTCGGTCTGCAGCTGGGGATTGTCCACTCAGCAATGAGTGCCAGCTGCCTGTGTCACACGCGGGAGCTCGAAAGAGCTCAGGCCAGAACTGACTTTGGTCAGTAAAGAGTTAGTGCCTCCTACCAAAATCTGCTTTCTATTACACACAGCAGAATAATAAGTGTGGCTGCAAAATATTGCAGTTCAATGCCGAGAAGTGTCGCGCCGCAACCGCCCAATTAAAGGTGGAAGTAATGGAGTGGGAGATTGATATCATCCTGCTCCAAGAGCCGTATCTAGCATTTGGAAAAGTTGGTGGTCTCTCACTACAATGGAGCATTTATGCCCAAGAAGGTGACGATTGTCGAGCTACAGTTATACTCACACGAAGGGATGTTGATGCATATGCTTTCCACGTCTCTCCTCTCATGGTGGCCGTAGAGATACGGATACCTTCATGTGCTTGGACTGTGATATCCGCTTATCGCCCGCTGTCATTAAAACTGGGAGACTTTCTGATTGACCTCGAAAGGGTTGTCCGGCCCCACGGTCGGGTTGTCTTGGCTGGTGATTTTAACGCCAAGCACTCACTATGGGAATCTCCTGTGGACGATCCGGACGGGAACATGATGAAAGAGACGGTGGAGGGGTGGGGTATGCACGTCCTGAACGATCCGTTTGGGATTGCTACCTTCTCGAACTGTAATGGTGAAAGCTGGATTGATCTAACTATTGTTAGTGGAGCTATGCTAAGACTGACCTCTCAGTGGGAAACGATCGATGCGGAAAGCTGTAGTGATCATCGCTTCATCTCTTTTGAGGTGTCGAACGGCTCGATTGCCTGGCCGAGCTGCCGCTACAAGCTGACTGCCGGAAACCGCGATCGTTTTAGCAAATGCCTCAAGGAAAAGACAGCCGATATCGCCACTCAAGTCTCTAAGGATGAGAGTGTCGAGGATCTGGAGGATGTGGTGGCAAACTTAACCAATGCGGTCAGAGGAGCAGGAGACTGCACACTCGCGCAAATGCGGCCCCACAAACACCGGTCAGTTCCCTGGTGGACCCAGGAACTGAGTGTCCTTCAGAAGCGTGTCCCTCACACGCTTCTGAAGGACACTCAGTTCCTTCACACTCCGCCGACGCTTTCAACGGTGCAGGGACAATGACCTTCGGGCTACCAGGAAACTGGAGTTCCAGAGGGCCAACGCTGAGTACAAGCGCAAATTGAACGATGCGAAAAAGACCTCATGGCTCAGTTTCTGTAAGGAAGTTAGTGACAATAATCCGTTCTGTCTACCCTACAAGCTAGCGGTGGGCAAACTCAAGCGTAGAACGATCTTGGGGCCATGAAAAAGCCCGATGGTACCCTAACCTCCACACAGGAGGAATCGATACAGGTGCTGCTTCGCTCGCACTTTCCGTGCGATGAGCAGTCCGATGATACCGAAGAACAGAGGCGGCTTCGAAGTGACGCGGAGTTGCCCGTTCTTGAGGCCGAGTTACCTGTGCCAGTGTCCGAATCTGAAGTAGTCCACGTCATGGGCCCACTGAGGAAGAGGAAGGCACCTGGCGTTGATGGGATCACGGCCGAAATGGTACAAGTTCTGCAGCATGAACGTCCTGGCCTGCTCCGTGAGCTGTATCAGAGGTGTCTGCAACTGGGTCACTTCCCAGTACTGTGGAAGCCGGCGCGACTTGTGTTTATTCATAAGGAGAGGCGCCCGAAGGATGAACCGAAGTCTTATAGACCGATTAGTCTCTTGCCAGTCCTAGGGAAGGTTCTTGATAGAATCCTTAACGACAGAATATATTACCATTTAAAGCGGAAAGGGCTGTTGCACCCGCATCAATATGGGTTCCGGCCGGACTTGTCTACCTGCCAGGCACTACATCATGTGGTTTCTCTGGTTCGCCAGAACCGCCTGCAGGGCCTCCACACGTCGCTCGTTTCGATGGACGTCGCGGGGGCTTTTGACAATGTCTGGTGGCCATCCATCGTGGGTGAACTGAGGAAGGCGAACCTGCCGACCACCCTTGTATCACTTTCCAGGAGTTTCCTGAGCGACCGCGAGGTAATCCACGAGACGCCGAGTGCAAGACATACGAAGATACTGGAGAAGGGCTGTCCCCAAGGATCCTGTATCGGGCCTTTGCTTTGGAACATCCTAGCGGACACGGCGCTGCGACTAGTCCTTCCGGACGATGTCCAGCTGCAGGCATATGCAGACGATCTGTTGTTAGTAGTTGCCGGTTATAGCTGTAGCGGCATGGAGAGTCGCGGCAACGAAGCAATAGAACAACTCGTTCGCTGGGGAGAGCTGCACAAGCTCTCTTTCAGCCCCGAGAAATCGGAGGCCCTGACGGTGGCCAGGTCTGGAGTGTTGGCCTGCCGACCAATATACCGGATCCGGGGAAACCCCATCAGAAGGGTGAGCGAGATTAAGTATTAAGTACCTCGGTGTTACCATCGATCAGACACTATGCTGGACGCCCCATCTGAGGAACGTCCGTGAAAAGACGAACCTCATGATAGCAGCACTATCAAGACTAGTGAGACAGGATTATGGCTTAGATGGAGAAGCGCTCCGCACCATCTACAAGAGGTGTGTGGAGCGAATCATCTGCTATGCCTGTGGAGTTTGGTGGAAGGATACCGCCAATGTCAAAATGAGTAGGACACTGCTCACGATCCAAATGCTCGCTGCCCTGCAGATCACGAGAGCTTATAGAATTGTGTCTACGGATGCGGCCCTGGTCTTGGCCGGGCTGCTCCCACTGCCCTTGGTAGTCAGCCAAGAAGCGGCCTTCTACAGAACCACAGTAGAAGGATTAGAGGCAATGCACTGTAATCGGAAGTACCCAGCCAGACTTAGGCAGAGAGTAGATGTTTTCAAAGTCCATCCGGCCCAACGGATTGGACTTGGCTGGGAAGTCGGTGAACTGACTGGTATGGGTGTTGAAATATACATAGATGGCTCAAAAGATGGCAGCTTAGTAGGTGCAGCATTCTGTGTTTTCTGTAACGGAGTGCAAGTGTACGAACAGTCTGTCAGACTGAATGAGGAGGCGTCCGTGTTTCTGGCAGAACTGGTGGCCTTGGGGGGATGTCCCAGTGGATCCTATTACATCCGGGTCCAGAGCCGGTCACGGTTTACTCTGATAGCCAGTCGTCGCTACAGGCTTTGAACGACGGGTACTATCGTGATTCGCTGGTACAGGAGATCAGATGCAAGGTGCTGAGGGCGAGGCACGAGCGACAAGTTACCCTGTGTTGGGTCTGAGGCCACACCGAGATCATGGGTAACGAGCGTGCCGATCAGCTACCAAAGGCGGGAGCTAGCGGTCCTTTTATAACGAGGACGGTTGAACCCTCGGCAGTTTATATCAGAGGTACCTTGCGGAAACGATCGATGTCCATCTGGCAAGAGCGCTGGAATCAAAGTACGGTAGGTAGGTCAACCTACGCCTTCGTGCCTGTAGTTGGCCTCACTCCGGTGTGCTGCAATGGGCTCACAACTCAATTACTGACCAGCCACGGGAGGTTTCCCCACTTCAAGTCCCGTTTCAGGCAAGGAGATGGTAGCTGCTCCTGTGGGAGTTCTCGCGGGGACGCGAGACATTACGTACTTGACTGTCCTCTTACAGAGGATTTCCGCCGAGGGGCCGACCAAGTCGACTGGTCTCGGCCGCCTGAACAAGTACTTCGAACGCTAGCAGCTAGTAAAGGAAACTTAATGAAACTGAAGGAATTGATGGAAATGATCGTAAACTTATGATCTAAGTGCCTAGTGGACGCACTGGGTTGGGTTCCCTCTTACTTGTAGGGAAGCGGACCCCGCTGTCTGAAAAACACCTAAAGAATAAATGATCTATTAATTAGTCAGTGGAAAATAATTAATCAGTGGAATAAAGTGCAGTTTCAGCTGCACACCCTAAAAGCTATGTCACGTTAGCGAGCTAGGGCCTAGTTCCGCGGACGGGAAACCGGACGTTCAACAGGGCCCAAAGCTTTGTCGTTTAGAGGTTTTAGCGGCAGAATCGCCGTAAGTCAATGACGAAGGAAAGACATAGTCTCTCAACCCTGTGGTGCCAATCTGGCAGGGCAGGGAAAGAGATCCCTAACCGGGAAACGATTCTTAAGAGACTTAGGTAGGGCCGCTCTGGGGTTAAGATAACTAAATATCGGACCTCCTATTGAACTTACCCACTTTACTCCCTACTCAACTTATAGCCATCGTTTTTTAAATTTTTATTATAAACTTAATATCGCTAATTAGAGCGCTAATAATTAACCTTTCCTGACTAGACTAAGATTTCACTATATTCAGTCTTAAATTTCCGATTTCAAGCCGTCCGTTGAGAACCTGAGCAGGTCTTACTGACGTGTAGTCAATAAACGTTTGATAAATTAACCACATCGAATTTCATTCCTCACAATACAAATATAATATCGGTTGAACAGAAAGAAATTATTATTAATCACTAAAAACGCATTGTCATTTCATAAACTTACATGCAAAAAGAAAGCTTTTGTTTACAGGGTAAAAATACATTTAATGATTTGTTAATAGAAGCAGGTGAAATCCATTGCGGATTTATTCATAATACAGTAGAGCGTCGATTTTTCGAATCAATTGGGGACTGGGGTTGTCCGGATAACTGATATTTCGGATAACTGATTTACGTACGAAAAAATAGTTTAACGTATCCAATGTCGAAATGTTTCTCCGTTGCGTGTCGCTTCGCGTTGAATTTTCGTCAATGTTAAGCCTAACGAAGACTATTAAATTGTTAAAAATCATTTTTTTAGTTTGTACGAACAAAATAAATATATTGAAAAATATAAAAATAATAAAAAATTATACTTCAGATGTTAATTTAGTATCAAAAACGTAAAATATTTGAGTAGCCCAAGACATAGCCAAAGATTGAAGCGCCACAGCACTGGCGAAAATTTAAATTTGCGGACTGGAATTCTTTCGGATGATTGACGTTTCGGATGATTGACTTTCGGAAAATCGACGCTCTACTGTATATTACTTTTGAAGTAAAATGTCTGTACTATATTTAATATTGATTATACTCTATTTAGTTACTACTGCTTTTATTGAATTTTATTAAAGTATAATTTATGTTATAGCAATAATTTAATAAAATGAAATAAAGTTTCCTTCACCGTGATCTTCAGAGACCATATTTAATTCCAAACAAATACCTGTTCAACCACTCAGAAATTAGATAATTTACAATTAAAAATGAACTATATATGTTAGTATTTTTAGATACAAAATTCCATCAATGAGTTGCTTAATTTTTTTGGCAATATTAAAACACTTATATTATAACACTTCGGTTTCCCGAAGTGTTATAATATTTAATTTAAAAAAAAAAAAAAACTTTAGCTACTTACCTATAGTGCTGTTTGGAATCAGTTACTCTAAAGAAAGCTCTCCACTAAAAGGAGAATCGACAAACTTGAATATTTATACGAAAGAAGCTCTGTAACTAACAAATTAAAAAATTATTTTTAACTCTCATGTTTTGCCAGACAAATGAAAATTGCAAAATCAACATTTTTAAATTTTAATTCATTGCAGCATTATTTCTATTTTAATTAACAGTTACGTTTCATACATGAGCGTTTGTTTTAGTTGCAATGAATGTCGTTATATTTAAATTCAAATATTTTCCTTAAACCAGTTAGATGACTGTCAGGATTGTATCTCTAACAGGAAAAGTATGATGTATAGGGGCGAGACACTACTAATTTCAAGTGAAGAGCGTATATTTTAAATTAAGTAAACCAAATATATTTTTACCAAAGTCAAATATTTAATTACGAAAATTATATTTAAAATAGACTATATAAAACTTGATAAATTTTCCATAAAAATTTTAGTTATTTTTTTGTACTACCTGCACTCATTTAAAGTCAAAATGTTAACAACTGTTAAATACTTAAATTATTTTTATAGTTCTTGATATCTGCTCACGTTTAGTCTGTTCTATTCCTGTGAATACTAAAAGGGCCTCTTCATCTACAGAGAGAATGGGTTCGGTCAGGCGCTAAAAGAGTGGCCACTGGCGAAGGACGAAGTCCGAGATTTTTGGCTACAATTAATTTCTGAAAAATTTCTGAAAATTCTCGACTATTCGAACATTATTCCGAGTACCCCAGAATGATACTTAAATTTAATTTATGATGCCCATTAACATTTTACTGGAATTGTTTTTCATTTTAAACTATCTATGATATGTTTTACGTACATGTACGCTAAACTTTTATGTACAGGTAATTTCAAGTTAACGTTAAAAATCTTTTAGTAACAGGTGTAACGTTATTTTTAAAAATATATTTCTTGTCACTGAATATAATTATATTATACTCTTATATCTGTATTTTATAATGTAAAATCAGTAAATTCATATAAAAGTTTTGTTGGAATTTTTAATTTAAACAGAATGAATTTTTAAAAATATTCATTGAAAAATACTGCAAATACATTATTGTTTTTATTCTTTTAATAACATTTCATGACAAAGATTGTTCTTTTAATCGCTTGAATGCACTCCAGAATATTTTTAACCTGAAAACATTGACAAACGGCTGTTCTCAAGGGCATTTAGCTCTGTACACCAAACAGCGGCTCGTATCACGTTGCGACTTTTTGTCATCTGAAATATAATTCGTTTCTAAATAATACGTAATAAAGAAAATAACGTTTTATGCTAAAACGTTTTAGAAATGTATTTCAAAAGTTGGTGTATTAAAAATTTTAAAATTTTTTGTGGGAGTTTTTCTGTCAAGCACGAAAAAAGAATGTTAGTTTTGTGAGGTTATGCTTAGCATATTAAACAACATATTAACAAATTAAAAATTTTTAAAATATATCTATTTTGTCTCTGCGAAACCTGAAGTTTTCGAAACCTCTGAGGTATAATGATTACCCTTGAGGTTTTTCTTAAGTAGAGGAAACAAATAAAAATCACAAGGCGCAAGATCGAGCGAATAAGGAGGGTATGGAATCGGTTCAAACTTCAGGTTTCGCAAAGCCTCTCCAGTTGCGCGAGATGTGTGGACGAGCGTTGTCATGTTGCAAGATTATTGGTGCCAGGCTGCCTCTAATATGTCACACTCAACGTCAGAGGTGTTTTAGAGTCTATATGTACTGAAAAGAATTAAACATTGCAACAAGGTTCAACGGTAACTGTCTATGGCAGTGATCGGACTTCCGCTGAATGTTTCATCAAAAATTATGGCTTTTCCAAACTCGCAACCACGAAATTTTATAAACCATCAATTTACAATAGACCTGTCAACAGCATCGTCACCATAAACAGCCTTTAAACGTAATTTTTTCAGCAGTTAAAAATTCGATAACAGCACGCTGTTTAACTCGCGTTGACATAGCACCAGAACATTTCTCCATATTTCCGCTTCTCAAAATATACTGAATGAACGCAACAACCTCAAACTGCTCATGAACATAGAGGAGGAATGTTACTTTCATATGCCACCTGGCACGCTTCTGAAAATCATTTCGTTTGTGCTCTACAAGCATGTGTGCATTACTTTTCAGCCTGCCCTCGTATTTTACTTTTTACAAATCATTAGTTAATGACTCATTTGTTACTAAGTAAAGAAAAACATTATCTAAATCACACTTTATTGACAGTTTTTCGGGTAAAAACAATTGTCATGTAGAAACAGAAAGACGCATTTTGTAAAGAAATTATTGCCACAAAATAGAAAGACGGTAAAATCACCCGATAATATATTGTCTGTTTTTATCTGTGTGATGTTCACGTTTTTTTAAATTTTGGTATTGACAGACATCAGTTAATTCGAGATGGCGATGCGTAAAATACGGACCCAATTGGTGCTTTTACAGTAATATGGAACTCAACTCCTCCGAATTCTCTCTTTGCAAGCAGACATTCGTTCGGAGCAATTTGTGAAAAAGACACTAGGTAGAAAGTCAATTCTTTCTGAGAATATCGAAAAAGAGCTGCTGGAATATATATTGTTGATGGAAGTCATATTTTTCTATTATAAAAGCATTTTTGCGATAAAATACATTGGAATAAATAATTTTGTAATTATTTAACATTTTTTGTACTTTCCTATTTGTTTTTGGCTACATTAACGCATTTTTTGAAAATATACAGTAGGGTTCCATATTACC